CCATCACCTGAACCTCGCTTCCTCCAGGTCCTCGGTCAGTTCAGCATGTGGACCTATCCTCCTCTCGTCGTCTGGGAGGACCTCTGGTACCAGTGGAGGACTATCTACGTGCTAGTAGGGCTCGTGTTCTGGAACATGCTTCTCCAGCCGGTCATGCAGGGTCAAATCTTCGACGCGTTTGCGGAGATTCGCAGCAAGGCCACAGCCGCCACCCTTGAGTTGGAGTCGAAGTGCTTCGTGACAGGGCTGGAGCGTCACCGGTTCAGGTGATGGAGGAGGAGGAGGATGGGGTGCGAGGATGGGGAGAGGGCACGAGGACGAGGACGAGGAGGACGAGGACGAGGACGAGGACGAAGATGATGGCATAATGTGGAAGATGTTTTTGGGGATAAGAACGAAGACGAAGATTGGTGGCAGAGAGGGACAGCGCTGACAATGACAAGCGCATGTCGGCTATAGTGATAGGGATAGGATGAAACAGGGGTCTCCAAGACCGGGAGTGGAGGGGTGGAGGAGGGTCAGGAGCTCGAGCACTGACTGGGTACACAGCAAGTATGCTGGAGAGTGGGAGACGAGGAGGGGAGGGAAGTACGCAATACGGTACCTGCTGTACCTCAAGCACCTCCTGGACAAGGACCCTGCCGACTACAACGGGACGGAGAGAAGGTCTCTACCTCCACCCTCTTGATCTCCTGCTGATTTCCTGCTGATGTCTTGCCAGTGTCATCCGAAGTATCGTCGCCAACAATACAGGATTCTTCCCCGTCGGTAAGAAAATTGGATTTTTCCTTCATCTTCCTCCTCATCTTTGTGTTTCTCCCTCCTTCTCATCCTTCTCTTCTTCCTCCTCCTCTTGTCACCCGACTTCCTTCCCCCTCGCCTCCTCCCTCCTGGCCCTCCTTCTCACCGTTCTCGATCATCAGGAGTCTTTGCTGCCGAGCAGAGAAGGCAGTCCATGGAGAAGCAGATCAGCGAGAGCTCGGCGCAGGAGGCGACCAACGAGGCGTTCGAGAACTTCATGTCGGAGGTGAGGAAGGAGATTTCGACCCTGAGAGACCGCAATGAGGAGACGATGAGGTGACAAGCGACTTGCTGCCGCCATGCAGGAGGATGGTGACGTTCTCTCAGGGCATTGCTCAGCATTCATGGTCGGCTAGAAACATTTGCGAGGCGAGAATGAGGCGAAGGATGCGGAGATGCTGCAAGACCATGAAGCTTGAGTGACGACAATTTTTCTCCCTCCTTGCTCTTCTCCTGCTTCTTCATCCTCCTCACTCTCACCCTCCTCCTCCTGCCCATGTTGTGTACATGCCATCATTGTAGTATTCTTACCAAGAAAATACATCTTGTAGCTCACAAGGCGACTGTGCCATGTTGACTGATAGGAGGACAAGGGAGGAGGGGAGGGCGAGGCATGGTAGGGAGGAGCGGGGAGGAGCGGGGAGGAGCGGGGAGGAGCGGGGAGGAGCGGGAGGACATGGCCATGCTGTGGAGCGTATTCCTACCTAGGGGATCTTTTTTGTCGGGCAGGCTGCCTTCCCAATGTGGGGGTACTTAGCTGACATATAGGGGGTAGTGGATAGGGGGGGTAGTTTACCACGAACCAATTCCTGGCGATAAAAGGCGAGGAGATCTACATGGGCATGCACGACAAGGTCAGATCCATGGTGGCGGACATGGCGGGGAGCGGGTGAGGAGGAGGAGCGAGGAGGAGCGACGATGCGAAGACCAAAGAACGAGAGGCAAGAGAGGAGGAGGGAGATGTTTGTTCTTCATCCTTATCCTCAGCACTAGCAGGAAGCAGGCAGGTCTCCGATGGGAATTTTGCGCCATTGCAGGAAAGTTTGTTCATCGACCATGATATTTCGTCCACTCCATCAAGACTTGATCTTGATAACTTGATTGTGTTGCTCGTTTTGTTGTTGCCTTGTTGATGGCCTCCTCGTGTACCTTGTTGTTGACCATGATGTTGTTGACCATGATGTTGTTGACCATGATGTTGTTGACCATGATGTTGTTGACCATGATGTTGCTGCCATGATGTTGGTGGCCATGACCATGATGCTGTTGACGTTGACCATGATGGTGTTGACCATGATGTTGGTGACCATGATGTTCTTGACCATGATGGTGTTGACCATGATGTTGGTGACCATGATGTTCTTGACCATGATGTTGTTGACCATGATGTTCTTGACCATGATGTTGTGGACCATGATGTCGAGCCATTTCTGACCGCTGTTGATCTTGGAGTTGGTCCAATAGATTTGTCCAGGGCATCCTTGATGTCGATGTGGTTATTGGCCATGCTCCTTCTTTTCTCTGTGTGCTCGGTCTTGGATGGCCTTACATCTGATTTTGTGTGTTCTTGAACTTGGCCAACCTGATTTTGTATGGATGATTGCTTCTGATACTGATGCAGCCGCAAGGCTTGACAGAGATTGCATCATCAGAAATGTTATTGACATGGTCGTTGTTGTTGTTGTTGTTGGTCTTGCCATTGTTCATGCTGTAGTCCTTGTTTTGGTTTCAAGGATGATTTTGATCTTGAGCCTTGACCACGATGTTGTCTTTCACCTCGTCTTTGACCTTGTCGGAGATCTTTTTGTCGTAAGTCGTGGTGTTGGACATGACCTCGATGTTCGTATTGTTTTCGTCGTGTTTTCAATTTGACCCGCCTCACGTCATGATCCGCAAGTGGCATTTATCATGGAAGTTTTTTGCTCATATCATGTTGCTGCTTCGTGTCAAGGCTTTCAGTTTGTAATGACTCTGGAATACAGCCGTGCTGTGTGCAATAGCGACCGCGGTCTTCTACAAAACGAACGTGGAGAAGAAGTTTACTGTGAGTAGTTTCATCTTTCTTCAATGAATTCATCTTTCTTCGATACGTTTGACCAGCATCTCAGCTTAATGGCGGCAATCAGTCGGTAGGGTACTACGGAGAGTCCATCTCCAAGAGGAAAGGTAGGGAAACAAAGAGGACATGCAGGCTGAGTACTTGTTATTGCTCTGACTGACACCAAGGTCAAGAGCTGAAGTCTGCATTGCACGCTGTTATCTCGAAGCATGTAGAGCGAGTTTTGTACAATTCTCCCTTTGAACGCGGTCAACAGGTGCCACTGAGCTACCAAAGAGTTTGGGAGGCGCTAGAAGACATCGATGGAGGGCAGGTTGTTGTAGAAGGCGTCGAATTTGATTCTTCGTGATGAAAGGGGCAGGATGGTTGTCAACCCAACTCAGTAGCAGATGTCTACACCGGAAAGTGCTGGAGGATCTACACAGACAGATGCGACAAAGTCGGTTCAGTCCTTTCATCCATCAACCCGGGCTGACATCACTCGTCCAGGTGATCGAGCGAGAAAACTTCTGCTACAATCGAGAGCATGCCTGGCCAAAGTGACCGAAACAAGTTGTATGCTCGAAGACAGCCTTACTGACCCAAGTTTCACTTCAGGTCGTGGTGGGGAGGCTTTGAGGAAGGAGGAGGTAAACGTTGCTTCAGCTCATACCAGTACCATGCTGAGGACATATTTTCAGCCGCATCTACAGACCTGTTCGCGCTTTATCTCGTGGATGGGTAAGAGCAATACTGTTGCTTCCTGCCATGTAACGGTCGGACAGGTTCGTCAACAAGAAGAGAAGCAACTATCCCCTGGCCGTTGTTGAAGGCAAACCTGTTTCACGGAGATGAAACGAAATTGAAACAAGTGCAGACGTTTCGTACACAACCAAGAGCGGTGGGAAATTCGGCAAATGTAAGGTCACGCTCTTACATTTTCATCTTCCTGCCCCTTTGACAAAAGGGACAGTCAGGCTTGTTGGACCAAGACAAAGATGATCGAAAAGTCCCGGGTACCGTGAAGTTTTTTAACAAAGAAAAAGGTGTATGATTCTTCAGATTCAGATGCTGCAGAAGGCGCCTTACAAGAGTTGCAGGATTCGGTTTTGCAACTTTGAAGGATGGTCGTGAAGTCTACATCCACCAGTCAAACATCTTGGTCAGTATGATCACGTGACGCCTGTGAACGTTCTCCTGAGACTGAAGGCAGGACAATGTGAACCTCAGGAAAATGGACAGTGTCAAACTGAAAGTGCTCAGCGGAACGAAAGGACTGTACGGTATCTCCTCCTCCCGTCTTTGTGTGGTTGTTATTTGTGGGACTCAACCAGGAAAGGAAGTGAGAAGGGTTGAAGACAAATGTTTCGAGCCACCAGATCACGTGAAGGTGTTACAAAGTTGAAACACAACCAAAAACAGAATATGACTCGGATGTAACAGGGAGACCTTGCACGAGCATATTTTTACGTCAGCGTGAGGTGATGTGTCTGATTTCGAACAGTCGTTTTGGGCAGCCGCTGACAACACAATGCGCAGGTACGAAGGGGAGTTTCAATGTTGCCAAAGGAGCCTGGTGAACAAAAACAAGATATCGAAGACATACCAAGACATGCTGAGGTATTTGAAGAAAACATGCAAGGAATCAAAAATGAGGCAGAACAGGTCATGGCACAAGAAAGATCCTGTGAGTGAACGCGAGAAACAGAGGAATGAAAAGATTTACACGTAAGTCTTCCCTTTGAACTTTTGACGATCTGAGATGGAGCAGATGGCAGAAGAATCGAAATCCATTCATCGACATGCCGGAGCTTGTCGACGCGATCCCTGACTTTTGAAACTTGAACATCGCAGCGGTGTAAACCTCCGGCGAGTCGGGTGAGCATCTTGCAAGTGTTGTATATTACATCGTCACGAGTTACGGGGTCCTAGTGACTACCCCGCTAGATCCTTCAATGGTGATGCGAACCGTTTTGTCTCACTGCTGCGGGGTTTTCGTCTGTCCCCGCGATTAATCTGATTGTCGATTTACCTGATTCCACTCATCCAACCTGCAGAGTTGGTGATGGGTGCTCTTGCGTCAGAGCTTCCCAGTTGAACGGCGTGACCCAGTCATCGTGCTGAACAATCCAGCCGAGCGGAGTGTCCCAGCCTTCGTTTGTGCCCGTAGACCAAAAGAAGTTCGACCAGAGCTCTTCTGGTTGATAGAGTGCCATTGGCATCAGGAACTGCTCCAACGCCTGCTCGATGGCATCAAGTTCCTGGTCGACTTCGGTTGGAGACTCGTTGGTGTCTTGAAGAGGCATCGTTGTCGTCGTATTGCTCAATCACTCTCTCGTAGCTCGTGGACTCCCTGAATCGCGTACATCACTGGTTCCTTCCTCCTTTGCTGCTTCAACTTGTCTCCAGGTGTCTGCTGCGTAAAAACGTCATTAACTGTATTCAGAAATCGCATTTCTTCCGTGTATTCTTGTGGTAACTAGCGAGGCAAGGGGCTAAAGGCAAACCTTCGGAAGGCACGCTTTTCGGATTTCCTCTTCTATCTGACCTACACAACTCAAATTTGCGATGGAAATGGATTTTCTCTCTTTCTTCCTCCTCTCCTAACACTGTCAAAATCACTTTCCCTTCCTTCCTCTCATCCATTGCCCGCATGCTGCTCGTCCCTGCTCTCGTTGCTCTTTGCTGGTTACCTTCCACGCAAATTTTTTTCGCGCCAAATTGTTTCCTATTCCTTTATGCCCCCCCTCCCCACCCTCCCCACCAACTTTTAAATACACCCCCCACCCCCTCTTTGAACCGAACATTCCCAGGAAGTAACCCCCCGTTTGCACTGCCACCCTATCAGCCCTGTGTACCCTACGATCATCGAGTTGCGGTTTTCAGTCGTAAAGTTAGGTTTACTCAAAGTTAAGTTAAAAATCAGTACGATGACACAGTAAAGTTCGTCACTCCGGCCCGCTGGACCCGGAGGACTGACGAACTCGCGGGCCCGGCCCTGCTAGGGCGGAGGGTCCAGATCTTCTAAGTAAGCCCTCGAGCGCAAACCACACACCCACCTGCAAGGACCGCGTGTACCGGCTCGGCAGCAGCAAGTTCGACCCCACCCAGCTGGCCATGAGCCTCGGAGGTAGGCCAGATCGTTGCAACAAGTGTTTTAGTTTTAAAAACGTTGTATAGAGTGAATTGCCTCTAAGAATAGATTGTGAAGTTCGTAAGTGGTACAGTAGATTTAAAAGAGTTCTAGAGAAACCTTGTCCAGTAGTAAATATCGCTCAATAAACGGGACCGTGACACGCACCAGAGGAGTGCACTGCGGCAGCCGCTAATTCCGTACGAAATTTCCCAATGATCGGCTCTGTGAATTGAAATCTAGGAGGAAGATTCCCAAGTCCTTGAGAGCCCTGGAGTGCGTCGGCATGTAGGCAAGGAAAGAAAGTTTAGCAGTCAACTGATATTTATAATACTTATTACAATGCTAGGAAATGGTGGGGGTGGTGGGGGTGGTACCAGATTCTAAGTTGAGAATGTTGAGGGTAGGGTGGTCGCAAAAAGGTACCTTCCACCTCCTAAATTACCCTGTGATACCCACCCTGTCGATATGATCAGCAACCCGAAGAGAAATGAGGGTGGGGGTGATATTTAGGATGGGGTGGGGTAGGGTGGGGGTGGGGGGGGAAGGGCCTCTATATAAGATCAAGTAGCGCAGCAAGGTAGGGAATACTGATGCAGGCTCCATGATGCCGTTGCTCCTCCTCATGAAAGATTGATCTGATCTGATTCTTGATGCTATGACGAACGATGTGATGCTATCCTTGCTTCTTCTTCATAGTGATCTCTGCATTTGATCTGCTCGCAAAACATTTCACCTTCTTCTCAAGTACTGAGAACTTATGTGAGACCGAGTGCACACCATGTCACACAACATGTGCTAGGGTCATCTTATCGCTTCATGGTACCTTATTACAGCAAAGCTTGCCCATTCCCTTACTGTGATGTTTGTGATGCCCTGATCTTTCGACAGTTTTGAACCACATGCTCCGATTCTTGAAATCTTGCCTCGGAGTGGGCACAACAAGGCAACAGGGCGATTCATCGGTAACAGATGTGTTTTAAGAAAGTTCAAAATAATCTTTTATATTTCAGCACGCAAATCAAGAGCAGTCAGATTTCGATCTGAAGGACTACCGATGTGTACCAACAGACTGCGATACAGACACGAAGTCCTCTACCAGCACGTCGTCTCCCGGCACGTCAGTGCCAGCCTCCCCCGCCACGCATCCAAATCTCTCGGCTCCAGGAGGGCTTCCCCCTGGATGCATGGGACAGGAGCATCAGACCGACCAATTTGAGGGGACCAGCAGCACCAGCAACACAAGAACTACACTTGCCGATGACAACGCCATCATCAACGAGCAAACGTCCCAGACAACAAGCAGCAACCAAAGGAAACAATCGATGCTGGTGTCACAGCTTGATGAGTTTGAAACAGACAACTGCAAGCTCGAGGCAAGCTCGTCGCATTCTGGGACCCAGGACGACATGCAACTTCCTGTCCCACTCATGGAGCCTCAAGTGTATGATGATGCTAATCATCATCATCATCATCCAGCCTCAGGTGGAGCCCCCCCTCTGGCGGTCTCCCCCCCACCCTCCCTTGTCTCTCTGGAGCTAGGCGATACAGAGCAGTCTGAAATATGTACGCAATCTCAGAACCGTCTCTTGCCAGACTCAGTCGCGCCAAGCCCGTCCTTGCCGGCCTCTCCCGCCACATTTCTGGACGCCTCGCCTCCTCCTGCCTCTTCTGCAATCTCTGCGGGTACCGGGTGGCCTGACTCGAGACATGATGTGCAACAGGAGCACCAGGACCACCAACTCGATGGGTCGCCCCTTGATCAGCCCGATGGCAGTGAGAGCAGCAGCCACGACGTCGTCACTGCGCAAGGAATCACGGCAGGCAGTGCGGAGGCAGCGAGGACGGGTGCTCAAGCATCGCAGTCGAAGCGGAAGAGGAGGTTGTCGTCGGTGGAATCTCTTCTTGCGTTCGATCACGCAGGGCCGAAGACGCTTTGCCAGACTGAAACTCGTATCAGAACACCCACAAAGCTGCTCACAGTCAGTTGGACGGATGGACGCAAGCAGCAGCGCACATGCTCGTCGACATGCACATCAGCATCTACCTTGGAGCAGCACAGGTACTCGCAGGTGCCGAAGGCCCCAAGGGCAACAGAAGAAGTCTCGAGAAGGCTACTTTGGGAGGATGACGATCGCAACACCGAGCACAGCGTTCCGTCTGAAATATGGAGCCCGTCCTTGCCGGCCTCTCCCGCCACATTTCCGGACGCCTCGCCTCCTCCTGCCTCTTCTGCAATCTCTGCGGGTACCGGGTGGCCTGACTCGAGACATGATGTGCGACAGGAGCACCAGGGTCACCAACTCGATGGGTCGCCCCTTGATCAGCCCGATGGCAGCGAGAGCAGCAGCCACGACGTCGTCACTGCGCAAGGAATCACGGCAGGAAGTGCGGAGGCAGCAAGGACGGGTGCTCAAGCATCGCAGTCGAAGCGGAAGAGGAGGTTGTCGTCGGTGGAATCTCTTCTTGCGTTCGATCACCCGGGGCCGAAGATGGTTGATACAAGTTGCGAGAATGAAGCTCGTACAAGGACGCCACCGTCCTTGTTTCAGCGATGAGTCTGCAGATGGATAATATCTGCAGGGGCGTTCAGGTGAGATATAGGGTCTGCTGGACCTTACTTGTGCTAGGTTACTAAGTCACAACGTGAGCAGGATTCATTCACCTAGCCCAAAGCTTAAAAAAAGCAAAAAGCGGCTGAAGAACTTTTCCTGAAATATACGAAGAGGTGCCTCCAAACATTTCATGGAGGGCCCATGCACTGTTTACTAATTTAATCTTGACAAATCTTGCACTAATGTGGAGCAAGCAAAGCAATATATGAGTGTTGAACACTTCGCGTAATATGACAGCGCATAGCAACTGCAGTAACCTGACTTGTAGTTTCGCGTCTTATTAGGAGAGAAGCATGCTCATACTCTCCTGGTCCAACTGAACGCACATGTACCAAGCATCCATGTTGTCACAAAGGCCTACGGAGTTGCTCTGTGGCACCATTGAGGAAGAGGATACAAGCTACCCCGTACCTTGTATCTCCAAGAATGTCCAGCACTATCTCGAGCGCATACTCCCTTCAGGTCACGATGCTGGCAGGGTCTGTTGATCGTCCTCCTCCTCCCCCCCCGTCCGTGCGATGGTGCACGGGCAGGCGCCTGGTGGTCACAGGACCAGTGAGATATCTTGAGGGTCGCACCAGCCACGTGACTGCATGTAGTCACGAGGTCGAGATACGCCTACATGTGCCAAAAGACGCTATTTCCGTGGTTGGATTTCAGCAGGTCACATGGTAATTAGTTATGAACGACCATTGATGACCACTGGGTTGGACATGTGCTGAAAGGTTATGGTTCTAGAAGGGTAATGAATCTTAACAGTCGTCGTTTCGGACTAACGTGACTACCTGATGCTGACATCATGACCTGGCTCTCGGATCAAGTCACGCGGACCGCAGGGGCGGGGGCAGATATCATATCGGAGTAGCGAAAGCCCCAACAGCACCAACACGAGCAAAATGCAGACGAATAGGAGGATGCTTGATTGTATCGAAGAGACAGTAGTTGAAGACAAGAACGAACACAACATTAGCAATCGGCGAGATCAGGATATCAAGACCAACCAACCCTGCAACATCGCAATAATCGCCTCGACTCACCGCAGTTGTAAGCACGGAACCTGCGCCATCGTTGGATACTGCATACGCGAGGAAGTAGCAAACGCCGCAACTCGGAGACACTCATCTCCTGTGTGTGGGCAGAGGATATCTCCCTTGAACATGAACACGCCATTTGAGCCTTCAGACACAGGGAATTGTGAGAAAAATGGGGAGAGTCAAGACAACATCAGCATAAATCGAAATAGGTTTGCCAGCATCTAATAAATCACATAACGACATGTATCATTGTCCGATCATCACACAAGTGCTTTGACCATTGCTGTCATTGGAAACTTGGAAGGTTCACAACTAAAGTTCTGTTGTGATCCCTGCACTACGCCTCATTCAAGCAGCGCTGAGAAGAAGCTGCCGTTTGATTGTGGCAAGAGCGTGATGCTGATGGGTGAAAACACCTTGGGAACTCTCCGCCATAACATTCATTTCCTGGACCAATATCCTCACACGATCATTGGGTGGTCTATCTAGTCTTGTTTGCATCCGAGTCTCACGGGCCATTGGTACGATACTAGACATGCACAGCGAAGTCACTGCCAGGCTGTGCGGAGGAAGGAAAGGAAGGGAAAAGGGGGCGGGGGGGGGGGGGGGTGGGGAGGAGGTCATCTCCCACACAGCCTGGCCAGGCAGCCTGAGTGTGACAGACTAGTATCTGGAGTCAACTATTGATATCCTTAAATTATATCCTTCCATCGACGACGATGAGTATTCTGAACTTGTCACACCTCGAAGATTCTCGAGTGGACCTTCAAGCGCAGTTCAACAAGAACTTACGTTGGATTTCTCTACTAAGAGGGAAAGCGGTGAAACAGAAGGAGATCTAACTCTCTTTTATTTCTTTCACACACACACACAATCGTGGAACACACACGAAAGGGGAAGAGGACCACCTAGCTCTGACGAGTTTCATCCTTTTATAGCTTCGAGGAAGGAGCCAGGGGTAGCGTCTCTTGGCTACAGAAAGGAGGGGTGTCCTGTCCTTGGAAGTTGACAAGCATCCCTTCTGACCTTCGAGAGGATACCATGCTCTCTCGCAGGGAAGAGAACCCCGTCCTTGCATGGCAGCAAGCTGCTTCCAACGGGTCGCACTCCACAAGACGCACCTCTTCTGTTTACCTTGTAAGTCCCCCACGGGTACAAGGTTGCTGCAACAAAGACCTCCACAGGGGTCATTTCAGCAGCTTCACACTGGAGTAGAGTATGGTCATCCAGGAGAAGTCAGCTTCGAACACGAGTACGAGACAGCCAACTGTCCTTTTATCCTGATAGACCTTTGTCTGACTCGGGCTCGGTTCCTATGAGCTCTGTCGGACAGAACTAAGATTTCAGAAATTCAAAAAATATATATCCTGATATATTCCGAAGGTGGTCTGATGTTAAACAACATAGATGTTTAAAAGGCAGTATTGATGAAACTATCGATGAACCCAACGAAAAGCCTGAGAAAGAACGAATATTGAGACTCAGGCTGTTGAGCTGAAGGATGGTATCTACGTTTTGAATAAAGTTGCTTAATGGATCCATGACAAACCTACTGACCAGATAGTGTACCTTTTCAAAGATTGCAGCATATTCAATAGGACTAGCTACTGTTGAGCCAAAATTCACTGCCACTGGTCACGGAGGCACAGAATCAACTGGATCAGACGGCATCACCTATAAACTTATCACCTCTGTGAGGCCATGGGCGGCTATGCAACATTCAGATTTACTCAAAGTTATCGGATGGTCAAATACTGACCATCGGAAGTCTTCCGAAGATTTCGAAGTTTTCAAACAGCATTCGAAGTTTCAAGTTCAACAAGTCAGTGTACGTGCCAGGGTCCGTCGAGAAATCTTCGGAAGTTGGCAGCCAGCTACTGCTGGCGCCCGGAACTTCGGAACGGTTCAACGGTTGAGTCAAGCCGGGCTGCCCGGTTAGCGGACAGTGAACCGAACACTCGGAAAAACAGAGTCGGAGTGGCCCGGGCCGATCATCAGCGGCCCGGCCCCGGCCCCCGGGCGATCCGATATGCCGGATCAGGCTCGGAACCACGATTCACATGATGATCAATGAGTTGTTGAACTATAATTCACCGCCGTGAGGTGATCGGACCGGACTGAAGTTCAATTCTGAGACCCGCGGCCGCGGGCGCGGGGGCCGGGCGCCGGGCTTGGCCGGGCCGGGGCGTCGCGACCGTACGGTACTCCGATCGGACTCGGACCCGGCCGTGACGGTGCCGGTGTGACCAAGTACCGGCGGTACGGACCGTGCCGGTGACCCCGTACCGTACTTACTGAGTACCGTAGTACGGTCGCGGATCGCCGGGACCGTCCGACGTCTGACCGTCTGAGTCACGCGTACGGTCACGGCGTGACTCAGTAGTGACTGTCACCGCCGTTAGTGCAGTGAGTCGGGCCCCGGCGGCCGTGCGGCCGATAGGGTGCCACCGCCCGGCAGGGCCGGCCCGGCGGGCCGCGCGTTCAACCGACCGTTCACCGTTGCCGCAACCTTCGTTGTTGGGCCCGTGATGCGGCGTTCGGAAGATTTAAAACAGTTTTCCCCAGCCTCATCTTGTACCGGTTTACAACATAGTAGGAAAAAGATGTACCATGGTAGTTCGAAACTACCAGAGAATTTCATATAAGAATATATAAAGGTGTGTACCAGAAGTTCCTGCTACAATGAAACAAACGAAAAAAACATTATAAAGGTTCCGGCCCCAACCACGTCCCCCCTCGCACCAGGATGACCCCCTTTTCCTATACCAAGAACTCGGGTAATTGAGGGGTAGGTGATTACATTCAATATTGACTATGGGATCCAAGATTGACTATTCACATCCGTGTGTTTTTGACTACAATACCACCCCTGCTCAGAAATATGTAAGGTGAGTTTCCAGTACCCCAACAACTGCCTTCAATGATACGGGTATCTTGAGAAAACTTCTCTACCCTACCCCGTTCAGGTGGGTGCCTTGGGATCTGCTTCCCCCCCTCCGTCCCTTTGATTTTCGCCCTCGGGGATTCATCGTATTGCCGATCTTGTCCTGCCGCTCTTCCAGCAACATGCCTGGTGGTTCCCCCGATATCGAAGATGCTGAGAAAGTAAGCTGCCTGCCAGTGCGCCCTCTCCCCCTGCCATCATATGACGCTCTTGCTACAGGTGATGTGCGCTTCAAAGTTCCCAGTCTACGTCAAGGTTCCCCGTCGCTGTCAGGAAGTCCTCCCTTGCTAACATGGGGAGCGCAGGTTGAGGAAGGAAAGCAGTACTACTACTGCACCTGTGGTAGAAGCAAGAACCAGCCTTGGTGTGATGGAAGCCATAGTGGCACCAAGTTTCAACCTATGGCATGGACGGCTCCAAAGACAGGGTCTGTCCGATTTTGCCGTTGCAAGAGTACCAAAACGCCTCCCCTTTGCGACTACTCCCACGTTGGTCTTATGAGCTCTTGCTGTAGTGGTGTTAGCGTGCAGACAGGAGGTTTGTACGTCCCAAAGCATTGACGGGAATTCAAAAGAGTGCGAGGAGTTCTTATCGAGTTCTTGTAAAGTTAGAAGTAATAATTCAAGATGAGCACTTGCAACAATGAAAAGATTGAATTCAAAGCTCTATGTGTGTCTTGTATGCATGTGTGGCTGTCTGCCCTTGCATCCCAGCCACTAGCACCTGTTATCGTGTCACATGTGCACGGCAGGTTTCACGACATACCACTACGCATATGAGCAGGCTGCAGTCTTGCACGAGCGCAATGATTACGTCCTGTTAAAGTGTCATCGATTAAGACAGGCAGGACGGTCAAATCTACCTTAATCCTCAAGAATATTTCCATCGAAACAAGCAAATAGTACGTCGCTGGCGACTGCAAGCAGTTGTCACAAGCAATGATTGCCACGATGAACTACCTCGGTCCCCCGAACAGGACTTGGACTGACGATGAAGTTGACAAAAATCAATAAAGCGACATGAGAGACTGCAATGTTCCATGTGTAAATCACACGAAGCTGACATTCAGCCAGTCCAGTTACCTACGAAGTTGAGAAGAACATTGTTTGATTCTCCTTTGGAAGAAAGTGAAAACAACTATTATCAAATATTAGAGATAGAATAAGACATTGCAACACCAACCATGGAGTATCCATACCAAACAAGCAACATTGCGCGAACAAGCACAACCAAAACCTTGCCATGGGTAAGATCGAATCGGAATTTCTAGACAACATAAGAGGGATACCTTGGCTGTTTGTATACGCCACAGCCTTACTCGATAGGATTTGTGGAGCCCCTGATATTGGATAAGCTGCATCGCAGAAACACTCTCAAGAAATCTACCTCTCGCTCTCGTTCCTGCTCTTGCTTCTCCTCCTCCATGCGCTAACAGGACCTTCAGAATGAGAAGGGAAGTCGAAAGCGCCAGACCTTTCTTGCACCAGCAGTGAAGACCTCTTCTATCACTTCTTCGCTCTTCAGGAATACTCCTTGAGAAGAAGACGAAGAAGTAGCACAATACCTCTTGTTCTTTCGAGTCGTTCTTGATAGAATTCTTAGCCTCCTTCTGCCAGGCACCGGATCAGAACAAGTTCATCTCATGACCAACATCGCAACCTGCAAGAGGGATGCAACAATCTCATCATTGTTCATTCTGGCTACGATGTCATCGGACTGGAAGGAAGCTGTCACAGCATCGAAGCAAGAAGCAAGGCTTCCACAAAGACCGGGTCATTTGCCATCGGATCCAGCTCCCTGATCGGCAACTTGTCAGGAGCGGCCAAACGAGGTGGCACTTTACTTGGATCCTCCAGTCACCTTCGCCATCCTCTTCTCTGCATTTGCCTGTCCATTCAAACAGATCAACACCCTGTCTTTCATGAGCATCCCCTGAGCTTGCTGGGAATGCAACCACTTGCTGATTCCAATCGTTCGGAGCGTGCTTTGTTCCCCTCACTAACTACTTGCAACATTGGTTTGCATGATACATTATGGTTTCCTCATCTCATCCGCGCACAGGTATGATCCTTAGCTCCAGCGTCAACCACGTGTACTTTTGGACGCCCCATTACAGTGCTGCTACACTCTATCTTTCTCACACTTTGAGTTTGTTTTCCGATCCATCCCCCAGCTGCTTCATCCCATCCTCTTCCTTATCTAGATCTATTCACACCACACCCTCATGTGATCCATCTCCACGCTCACCAGGATCTTCGCCCTGCGCGCTTCCCTAGCGTCCGCCATTTCAGGCGTGGATCGATGTTCCAGCGCGGTAGATGGCTGACCAGCCGGGCATTCGGGGCCGGGCACCAGGCCGGGCCTGCAAGTCACTGAGAATATATTAGTCATGGGAGGCAGTAGCGATAGAAGCGATTTGAACTAGCAAGGGAGAGGGCAGCAAATTCGGTTTGTGGGAGACCATGGTGGCGGCGGGGGGGGGCTCTAGTGGGGAGGATATGGAGGGAGGAGGGAGGAGGGTGGAGGGAGGAGGGAGGAGGATATGTACGCAGATCAGTAGGTCATGATGCGAACTTGTTGGATCTAGTTCTGCGAGCAGGAGAAGGTTGTTCTTTGAGGAGGTAAAAAGCTGCATATCCCCATTGCCCTCGATGGAACTTTCGATATCCCCGACCTCTGGCCCGTCCACGGGAGGGACGAAGGTTGTGCTAACGCTGACAAACGAGGACAGCTGGAATGAGGGCACGACCTTCCAGGTCGTCTTCTGCACTCCCCTGCGGCGAATCCCCGTGGTGGCGCAGTTTAAAAGAAGGACCAAGTCCTCAGCTTCCTGCGAATGTACCTCGCCGATGTGGGGGAAGCGGGAGCTAACGAAGATAAGATTGATGGTGAACAAGGCAGAGGTTGGCTCTTGCCACTTCCTGTTCTATCACCAGCCCTCTGTCGTGGCGGCGAAGCCGGACTTTGTGAAAGCTTCAGCGGTTGTAACTGACAAGTCCCTTCTACCTCTGAGCTTTTCGCGCAGGCCAATACGATAACGATGCTGGTGCTTCATCTCGAGCAGCTGAACTACGAGGATGCAGAGATCTCGGATGCGGAGAAAGAGATCTGGAGGAAGATGCAGCTGCGCGTGCGTCTCAAGACGGAGGAGGAGGAGACCTTGGAGACAGTCAAGGGGCAGATGTTTGGGGAGCAGCTACTTGCAGACGTCGGCAGCCTCTCTGTCACGGGACAAGTCCACTTCGAGCTGAGCCTGAACGATGCCGACTTCGACAGGGAGTACTTGAACTGGAAGGAGGAGCACTCCCTGCTGAAGACTGCAGCCAACAAGAAGGAAGCGGTCAAGGAGCGACTGAAGGATCTGAGGAAGAAGATGGGGCTGGCGAGCGTGACATTCTGGGAGAACCCTCTGCTTGTGAACGTCGAGCCAGACTTCTTGTTCTTCCACATGGAGCCAACTGTGAGGGTGCACTGCACTGGTTACCCGCTGTTTGACACAGGAGACGTTGTCGTTAACCTGAGCGAATGCGATACCAAGACCGGGACCGTGATCAACAATCATACGATCAAGGCATCGGCAGAGAGAGGGAAGGAGATAGTCTCGTTCCAGATTCCCAACTGTGAGCTCGTCAACGATGTCGACCTCGAGGTCAGGGTCTCCCTTGACGGCGGGAAAACCATGTCCCCTCCCTGCTTCAAGAAGATTCAGGTGAGGGGAAAGCCAGTGGTTAGCTCCTTCTCTCCCCTCCTTGCCAGCTGCGAGGGAGGCTGGAGCTTCACGGTCAGAGGGGAGAACTTTCATCCACGGCAGGGATGCTCGGCGTGGATAAGGTTCCAAGGGAGGGGATACGATAGGAGGGTTCAGATTCTTCCGTCGGATCTCTCAAGCAGCGAGATGAAGTGCGTTACCCCAAGGCTGATGGAGCTAGAGAGCTACGGGAACTGCAGGCTCAAGGTCAAGGCGAGCTTTGACGATGGGATGAGCTGGATGGATTGCGGGGAGGAGGACTTCACCTCGCACCCTCCCCTACTCCCGCTGAGAGCCAAGCCCCGGGTCATCTCGGCCCAGGGCGGGATGAAGGTAAAGATCGAGGGAGAGAATTTCTTTTCCTCTCCACTCCTCATGGGCAGGATTGTCAAGCTGAGGGTTCAGGACGACGGCGATGCTCCTGGCGATCAGTCGCAGTCCTTTGACTTCCGCCTCAAGTACTTCAGCGTACAGAAATGTTTCCATGGGGAAGTGCCAAGGCTGAGATTCGTTGGGCCAGCGTACCTCCTCGTCACTCTCAATGGACAGGACTGGGTCTCAGTGCCGGAGGTGCTCACCGTGACAGACAAGGAGGCCCCTAGCGAGGAGGGGAAGGCTGTGGAGAGGTACGAGGAGATGGAGAAGAAGCGGCTTGTAAGGATGCAGGAGCGAGCCCAGTCCCTCCTGCAGTCGTCCGCTCCTCCTCGGATTGCCAGGGCTGACCTGGTGAAGAAAGAGAAAACGTTGATCGGAGGGGTTGGGATCTCGGTGGGCAAGGATGCAGGAGGGAGGATGACTGTGCGAAAGATCTCCAGGAACTCTCCAGCTGAAGGGAAGCTGAGGGTTGGGGACGTGATCGATCATGTCCGAGACGTGGAGAGGAAGAAGGAGGAGGAGGGAGAATTCGCCCTTGCGTTCTCCTCCAAGAATCTCAAGACTGAGGACGTGGAGACGCTGCTTCGAGGTCCCGTGGGCTCCTGGGTGATAATCTCCCTCTCCTCGGGGCGATCTTGGAGGCTGCAGAGGGTGGAGGAGGAGAAAGGCAGCATTCTTCGCGTCGCCAAGGAGGAGGCAGACGCGTCAACGAGGAGCGGGGGCAGGGAGGAGGAAGCGACGGCGGGGCGAAAGGAGGGGAGGAAGGAGATGGAGCAGAGGAAGGGGGAAAAGGGAGGAGGGAAAGATGCGAAGGGGTACAAGGAGGAGGTTATATCCCGCTCCTCTCTCATGCGGTACCGCAAACACTACGAGCGGGTGCAGGTCAAGGACGGATGCCTGCATCGTCTGCGCGAGCTTCACCTCCCTTCCTCCTCCACCGTTACTCAGTGGGAAGTCGTTGCTGCTTTGTTGACCTCTCGGCGCATCATCACAGGGGGTGACCTGGAGCGGTTCGGAATCCCGCGGCCCTCCCTCCTCCCGTACTGGAGCAGGTCAAGAGGAAGGAGGAGGGAGGCTGTGAGATCGGAGGACAAGCAGGAAGATGGATGGATGAAGGAGAAGAGGAAAGTAGTCAAGGCCGAGCTGGCCTCCGGTGTGCATTACGAGGGAGAGGTGGAGGGGAGCAGAGCGGAGGGGAGAGGAAGCATGTGGTTTCCTGATGGGACCTCGTATGAGGGGGAGTTCTTGGACGGTCAGTGTCATGGGGAGGGGAGGTGGGTACACAAGACTGGGGAGGTCTACGTTGGGAGCTTCAGGAACGGGATGGCAGAGGGGAAGGGAAGGCTGACAGGGAGAGGAGGAGAGGAGACGTTTGACGGAGAGTTTGTGCAGAACCTGCCTCATGGGTGGGGGAGGAAGACGTGGGGAGACGGGTCAAGCTATGAAGGAGAGTGGAGGAGAGGAGTTCAGCAAGGACAGGGGAAGTGGAGGAAGGGAGGGAACGAGTTCGAAGGGAGGTTTGAGGACGGGATGCCGGAGGGAGAGGGGAGAATGGTGTATGGTACAGGAGAGGTCTACCAGGGTGAATGGAGCAAGGGAATACAGCACGGGAGGGGGGTGTTGTTTGAGAGGAAAGAGCGAATCTATGATGGATTGTGGAGGTTTGGGAAGAGGACGGGGAAGGGGATTGACAGAAGGAGGATGAACAACGTCGGTGTGTACAGGGAGGAGGAGAGGGAGGAGGGCGTGGAGGATCTGTACGAGCATGTGGCGGAGCGAATCGAGATCAGGAGCATGGCGGAGGACACGATAGGCTTCGTTCAGGCAGTAGGGGCAGAGGAGGAGGATATGGTACACCGGTACGTCATATCTGGAGTGGACGTCAATGCCCGTATCCCGTCTTCATGCTTCACTGGTGAACCCTGGCTGACGGAAATTCTCTGTGAGGAGGAGGAGGAGGAGGAGGAGCAGGAAGAAAGATGGAAAGGCGATAACAAGACGAGGGAACTTGCGATCACTGCCATGGGCGTCGTTTGTTCTTTGGTGCGATACCGTGCCATGGAGGAGAATCAAAGGAGGAGGAAGGAGGAAGAGGGAGAGGAGGAGGAAGAGGAGGAGGAGGAAATGTACAGCGAAGGGGATGTGAAAGAGGAGCGCCTGAACAGGATGCGGGACATTCTTGTAGCAGGAGGGGCTGAGACGTTGGCGTGCCTGAGGAGAGCAGTGGAGTATGCGGAGGAGGAGGTCGTTTCTTTCCTGCTGCAGGGGAGGTACGAGGACGAATGGATTCCGGGGCTTGTTGACCTTTGCGGGAAATCTGCGAGAGGAGGACAGGAAACGGCAGGACATCAGACTTCTGACCGCCTCCTGAGAGTTCGCGCACTTCTCAGCTCGTGCTTGCACTCCTTCCCGAACCATGTTCAGGGAGGGAAGACCACAAGGGAGAAAGAAAACCAACTTGTGCAGGAGGAGGAGGAGGAGGAGCAGCAGCAGCAGCAGCAGAAGCAGAAGCAGGAGCAGGAGCAGGAGCAGGAGAGTGTACGAGAGAGCTTCGAGGGTTCATCTTTGCTAGACATACACGATGCCATGAAGGCGCAGAGAGCTCCGGTGGTCATGCCCGAGGGCTCCTGCCGCCTGCCGGACATGGTGAGGAGCTGGTGCCCCTGCTGAGAGAAGGTTGCTGAGAAAGATTGCAGTCTATCGATGACATGTACGGCGAACCGTGCGATGAAGACGAAGAGTTCGATAGGAGGTGAGTTGTTGATGAAAACAGCGAGTAGTTGTGATGGAGTAGCAGTAGAGTGGTAGAGGACGCGATATCGTCCACTGATGTTCGTGTCCGCAGCAAACATGTCAGCGTCAAGATCGACCGAGTTGAGCTTGAAGAGAGTCAGTTTGACTCCCTCCGGCGCTTTCCCAACTTGTTCGTATCCGCTGTCTTTATTGCCGGGGTAATACCGATCGGCTTGTGACGGTTGTGGACCTGACATGTCGGATGACCAGGATGAGGAAGAGGTGGATGAAATGAGAATTTACGACAAGGCCAGGTGAGTTGGACATATCTGTTCTACCCCATGTCCTCCACATCCTCGTCCCTATTGCTTGTCGTCCCTGTTCTCCCATCCTCTTTGCTTCTTCTCTTATCTTCTTCTCTCCTGTCCTCCTCTCTTCTTCTCCTCCTCTGCTCCCCTCCTCTGCTCCTCTTTTCCGCTGTTCTTCTCTCCTACTCTCCTCCTTCAGTCCTCCTTGTCCCTCTCCTAATCCCCTGCCTACCCTTCTTCCCTCCTAACGTCTGCCATCCAGCGCATCTCTTCCAAGGGCGCACGAGATGATCTTCAGTCACTCCGTCAAGTTCTCTTTAGACCCGCAAGACGATCAGTCCTATTTCCTCCCTCTCGCCTCCGCTCTCTCCTCCTCGAACTCTTCCTCCTCAGGTTTTCCTTCCTCTCTTCCCGTTCTTCTCTCTCCCCCTTCCTCGCTCTCTTCTATCCTCTTGCCCCCTCCCGCTCCCTCCCGCTTCCTTCCCTGCCGCCTCACCTGTCCTCCACTACTCGTTTCTTCTGCTCTCCTCGACTTGCCCTCCCGTCTTCTTCCCTCCTCCCTCTTCTCCTCACACCTTCCAGGTCATCCTTCGCTCGACGTCCTTCTCTTCGGACAAGCTGACGACGACGAGGAGCTCGAAGATGTTGAGCTTGGGGTCTGCCGAGTGAGCCTGCAGCACGTGCAGGTTTTCCTCCTCCTTTTCCTCCTCCTCCTCCTCCTCCTCCTCCTCCTCCTCCTCCTCCTCCTTCTCTATTCTCCCTACGCCATCTGCCCTTATCCCTTCTATCCGTTACCCCATTCCCATACTTCTGCTCCTGCTCTCGGTCTGCCTGTCTTGCTCATCCACCCCAACTTTCTCTTGCACGTCCTCCTCCTCCTCCTCCTCCTCCTCCTTCTCATCCTCCTCCTCCTCCTTCTCATCCTCATCCTCATCCTCATCCTTATCCTCCTCTTCATCTTCCTCCGCCCTCTGCTCCTGCATCGCATCCTTCGTTCATCTCCATCTTTGTCGTTCTTTCTTTCGCTCTCGCTCACTTCTTCCTCATCAGGATGGTCAACTCTTTCTCGCTTCTTTCGTCGGCGAAGATGAGGCAAGCAATTCCTACCAACCTCTTGATGATCACCAACACTGTCTCCTCTTCCTCCTCTTTCTCAATCTCTTCTTCCTCCTCCATCTCCTCCTCATCCTTATCCTCATCCTCCTCATCATCATCATCATCATCATCATCGTCGTCGTCGTCGTCGTCGTCGTCATCATCATCATCATCATTATCATCATTATCATCATCATCATCATCATCATCGTCATTATCAGCATCATCATTTATCTTCGTTCTCCTCCTCTCCTCTTCTGCTCCCCGACTTTGTCTTCCTCCTCCTCATCTCGTTTGTCCAGGAGGTTGTCGGTAAAGTCTCCCTGTCCCTCGTCAGCGAGCAGGCGATGGCGCGGGCTCGAAGTCTCTTTCCTGCATCCTTGCTGAACCCTAGATACTCGGGAGATAGCGGGGAGGAGGAGGACGAGGACGAGGACGAGGAGGACGAGGACGAGGACGAGGAGGACGAGGAAGAGGAGGCTATGGTGGAAGTGAGGGGGAAAGAGCAGGGGAAACGGATTGTGAAGGCTGTGCTGGAGAGGGAAGGAGGACGGAGACGAGTCGAGCAGCAGGCGAAGGCTGCGGGGCCGGCAAGCAAAGTCGCTATGAAGATGAGGAAAGAGGAGGAGAGGAAAAGGGGAAGGGGAGAGCAGGTAGGAGGGCAGGTGGTGGAAGAGCAATCATCAGAGCTGTTTTCGGCCATGGACTATTACCTGGACGAAGCTCGAGGGGTTTGATGCAGCGGCGGCGGCGGCGGCGGCGGCGGCGGCGGCGGCGGCGGCGGCGGCAGCGGCAGCGGGACAAGAACGGGTAAAAGGAGATGAGGGTTGGGGGTGGGCGAGGAGAGGAGGAGGAGGAGGGAGACGGAAAGGATGAGGATGCAGTGGAGTGAAGCAAGTTGTCACTGGGTATTCGATTTCATGTTAAAGTCCAACAGATAAAGTGAAATATGTTTCAATTCATCCGTGAAAGTTGAAGACGAGGATGACGCGCAAGTGTCTGAGAGCTGAAGGAAGGGGGTTGGGAGGGGGTTGGGATTCGAAGGGGAGAGTGGACGAGGAGCAGCAGCAGAACGAGGGATAAAGACGAAGATTGAAAATGGGGTTTGTATCGGCATTTTGTTCTTTCATCTACAATCCTCTCCTCCTCTCACCCTCCTCTATAACATCCTCATCCTCATCCTCATCCTCTACCCCCATCCTCCCCCACCTGGTCTTCCTTCACTTTGCCTCCCTCTTCACCCAGTCAACGATGGACTTGGCATCTCTCTCGCCCGTGTAGTCGGAGATCTTGTTGTCTCCTGCTGCGATGAACTTGATGGTCGGGTAGCCCTGCGCTTGCAGCTCCCCGTGCGGGCTGTCGTTGGCCGTGGCGTCGAACTTGGCAATCACAATGTTGCCGTACCTGTGGAAGGTGAGAAGGAGGAGGGGGGAGGAGGGGAGAAAGGAAAGAGAGTTGAGGAGGGGGTAGTGGAGAGGGAGGGAGGGAGGAGAGGGAGGAGAGGGAGGAGAGGGAAGGGGGGGA